ATTTATATTTATAATAATTTGCAAATAATGTCATCTTTAAATAATGTCAATCACAGTTTCGTCGTCTTTTTGAAATAATTTTCTTCTTTTACGGACGTGTTTAACAATCCCTAAATCAGGCAATCTTAAAAAAAAATCGTAATTTTATATTATTAATACTTTTCCATCACGTGGTTAAATATATTTTTCTTTTTGAACTTTCAAATCTTAAAAATTAATCAATTTCTAATTTTCAAAAAAATTTTTTAATATGATATATAATATTTTTGATATAATATAACTATATTTAAAAAAAAAGTGGAAGTATTAATTAAGTAAAACGTGGAATTATTAATAAATTATTCTATATACATTTTGCTCTACATGTAATAAAATTTTTCAATGTGCAAAATTTCCAGATATTGGAATTATGTTCTCGATAGCAATTTAATAATTATCTAAATTTAAAAAACCGAATTTAAACAAAATAATTTTTCTTACTTGACAACTCGGTTTGTCTTTCTTTCCATACTTTCATCATTTATAAAAGCAGGATGTTCTGCGTTCCACGATCGGTTCTTCGTTCCATGAATTTTTTTCGAAGGTACATTTTGTTTCTTTTGCGACAAACAAATTATATATTATATTTACACTTCAGAATATAACATGCAAAATTTTTAATTTTACGCTCAACTAAATAAATAATTATCAATTTATCGATGAATCTCTTTCTCTTTTTTTTCTTTTTCTCTCTGTCACATATATTATACAGAAAGAATTTCGATAAATTTATTAAATGAATAAAAAAACGCGTATAACAAAAAATTAATAATTAATACCAAAAACAATTTCGCATTAGCGCTATCCAAAAAACGTTTGTATTTCAAAATCTCGTCCTCGTGACGTTTATCTTGGGACATTAATTGTTGTTTGTGTTTATCCTCGAGCTGTATTATTTGCACGCGCAAGAAATCGATTTCACCCTGCAATTTAGAAACTGCACCAAACTAATTTTTAGTTTCCACTTTTATATTCTTTCGTTTGTTCTTTTTTGTGAACTTTCGTACCAATTTTTTTAAATTACATTATTTATGTAATTAATTTTCCAATATATAATTTTTATACATATATAAAGATTTGCAACATTCTCTTTAAGTATTTTTGCCAAAGCATCTCAAAAATTCTAAAGTTTTAATTACAATTTTTCTATTATTTATGTTCATGAAAAGATATTATACACAATCGAGATTTTAAAAAAATGAACTTTTTTTTTTTACCTTTGTCATTGTTTAGGAGTTCATCTCGTTCGAGTTCTCGTTGTGTAGCGGCTAGGACACAGTGCAGTTGTTCGTTCTCTTTTTCCAAGCGATCCAAGGATGCCTTGTACTGTTCCTCGCGTCTCATTAACCAGCGAAGCATATTCTTAAATTTGTTCTTCATCTTTTCCAATTCTTCGCGCTCGCATTCTAAGGATCTTTGCTGCATGTCGCTAAAAACGTGCAGCGCGGAATATTTCTGTCGCGCAAAAAAAAGAATCTTTTACATCTTTTATTCTTTTATCACTTTTAAAATTAAATTGGATCGTTTTTAAACCTCATGGCATATATGTATAATATGTTAATGACAAAAATATATATATATGTGTAAAAGAAAATTAAGAAATTTTGGCTTCAATAAAAAATTAAATCCAATTAAAATCTTTTAAATTTTAATTATTTTTAACGAGATTTATATGATATCATGGTAATAAAAGTTTAAAAGAATTTATTACGATATCGAGGATTAAAGTATAAAGCGGGATATAAAATTTTGTGCTATTTATGTATCTACCTTTCAATTTTCATCATCTTTCAATTTTTTTAAGGAATTAATTTTGTATCGGAAATCCAAGCTATATCGATGAAACCTATCGATTATGAATAATCAGTTGAAATATCTGCTTTTACAAGCAGGTGCATTTCTTCACTTACATCGCGTATTTCTCTGTATTTATCCAGAAGAACCTGGAGATCAGAACGCAGTATTTGCTTATAAGCCATTGTTCTTTGCGCGCTTCTTTTCCTATGAATCTCTTCTTAGAGAACACAATATAATATCGCTTGTTTTGCTTCCTGTTACTCTTTCTTTCCGATATCGCGTGCCTTCCGAATGATTTTAAATCAATCCTCCATAAGACACAAGATAATTAGAAGAGTGACACGAGATGCATCACGAATAGCATTTTCAGGGATGCGTTCAAAAAAATCCTATTCGTGGAATAAAATAGTAAAGTTTAATTGACCAATCAGAAGAAAAGGAGCCAAAATTTCTTTGTCCTGATTGGTTAGTTCAATGATACTCTATTCCACGTGTAGAATCTTCGAACGCATCTTAACTAGAGAGTAGCCTGCAAGGGATTACTCTGCAGTTTCTCATAAGACGCCTTTTCTAGCACGTACAGTAGCGTCAACTAGATCCATTTTAGAATCGGCGGAACTATATGGCCAGATTCACGTTTCGATGCCATGATAAAACAACCGGTTGATGCATATGCGTGATCCATTAATTGTGGATCAAAATTGCGGAGAAATATTATGGATTTATTAATGATTTATTATATATATATATAGCTGCGCATGATGTTTTGCCATTCTAGTATCTACTACGAACAACGATAATAAATTGTTATTGAAGTATTTTTATATATATGCGCATGTGACATAAAATAAATTTTCTTAAATTAATTTTCTAAGTAAAAATTATCCGAATTATATCGTGTTTTTGATGTCATTTTAATTCAAAATCTTATTAATCCATTAAAATTATTCTCAAACCGATAAAATACAAGTAAAAATCTTTCTTAAGGGGATCCAAAAGCTCGTCTGTTTTACCGACCAAAAATTATTATTTTGCACATTGAAATCTTTTTTTTAGTTGAATAGAATAATAAATCCTTTTTCACAATTTAAGTGCACATCGAAACAAAGATGAGACTTCACGAGTTTATGTTAAAAACGAAGAAAAGCTAAAAAATTACAGTTTTTTTACCGGCTTCTTATTTTTATTACATAAGATTTTTGAATATTATAAATAAATTATTATAGATAAGTAAAGGTCTCTGGTATCATCAAAAGCGAGAGCGAGAACAAATAAAGAACAAACGAGATAACGTATCGTCAAAGAGTTCCGAAGTCTCTTACACGTGAGGGGCTTATTCCTTTATTATAATATTTCACAAGTATATATATGTGTCATATTACCATAGAAAATAAAACTTTTATATTTTGCATTTTATCCGTTTAAAAATAATTTTAATGGATTAATGATTTTTTACGATTAAAATGATATCAAACATGACATACACCGATAATTTTTGGTTAAATATGTAATCAAAATTTTTATTGTTAGTTTAGTTAAAAATTATCCGATTTATGTTGTGTTTGATGTTATTTTAATCGCAAAAATCTCATTAATCCATTAAAATATTATTCTCAAATCGATAAAATACAAGTAAGAATCTCTCTTAAAGTAAGAATCGAAGTGACAGAAATCTAAATTATAATATCGTTTTGTTGCGATCCTTATGAATAATAACTATTTTTCTATCGATACTTAGAGTAAAGATATTTTGTCCCATTTATCGTTTGACTTTTCGACAATTTAAATATGATTCGGATTGAAAACGCGCATGAAAATAGTCAAATCGCAGGTCCGAGTAATTAATATAACAATAAGCTCTATAATATATTAATCGTTTATTAAATAATTGTTTTATAATTTAAAATACTTGTAATTATAATTTAATATTTCGCCTGTATGTACGTCATAGTACGCAAATTATTTTCGGCCGCAAATTGTCAATAACTTGGTCTTGGCGGCGTAAACAATTAAGTTAATTACTCGGACCTGTGATTTGACTATTTTATTGCGCGTTCTCAATCCAAATCATATATAAATTATCAAAAAATCGAACGATAAAGTATCGGACGAAATATAACTAAACTTTAAATATTTTTAAAGAAATAATTATTACTTATAAAGAGAGAGAGAGAGAGAGAGAGAGAGAGAAAGACAGACAGACAGACAGAGAGACAGAGACAGAGAGAAAGAGAGAGAGAGAGACAGAGAGAGAGAGGGAGGGAGAGAGTTTTTGTGTACTATAACGTATATACAAGCGGGTATATACGTCATAGTACACAAAATAATTTCGGCTGCGAATTGTCAATAACATGGTATGCGGCCTTGGCGGCGTAAATAATATAGGGCGCTATTGTTAACATGTTATGATTTACGATCTTATCATTCGCACGGCGACACTCGAACAGTAAGGTAGTAGAGCGCGAGACAGTCTGTCAAATTCTTTTCGAAACGCGATCGTGATAAGTATCTGGAAATAATTTAATATGATAAATAATTAATTATCTTTTGTATACTTCAAACTTTAAATGATACGTAATTATATCGCAACGATAAATTTCGAGGCGCATGTTTTGCGTGATGTATACACATTTAATCAATAATCGAAGTGACAGGAATCAAAATTGTAAATTATTGTTTTGTCGCGATCTCTCTCTCTCTCTCTCTCTCTCTCCCTCTCTCTCTCTCTCTCTCTCTTTATAAGTAATAATTATTTCCTTAAAAATATTTAAAGTTCAATTATATTTCGTCCGATGCTTTATCGTTCGATTTTTTGATAATTTATATATGATTTGGATTAAGAACGCGTAATGGAATAATCGCGCGTAATCAAATCACAGATCCGAGTAATTACCATAACGATAAGCTCCGTAATATATTAAGCATTTTTTAAATAATTGATCTTTAATTTAAAATACTTTATAATTTAATATTCCGCTTGTATATACGTCATAGTACGGAAAATAAGTTCGGCTGCGAATTATCAATAACCTGGTATGCGGCCTTGGCGGCGTAAACAATAGGACGCTATTGTTAAAGTGTTATGATTTGGGACTTTATCATTCGCACGGTGACTCTCGAACAGTAAGGTAGTAGAGCTCGAGACACTCCGTCAAATTCTTTCTCGAGCCGCAATCGTGACAAGTAACGGGAAATAATTTGATATAAATAATTAATTATATTTGCGAATCTTAAATAATACGTAATTATATCGCAACGATAAATCTTGAGGCGCATATTTCACGTGATGTACACACATTTAATCAAGAATTGAACTGACAGGAATCAAAATTATAAATTATTGTTTTGTCGCGATCTTTCTCTCTCTCTTTCTCTCTCTCTCTCTCTC